CTGAGATTACAAGCATGTGCCCCTGTGCCCGACTATTTTTAGCATTTTCAGTGGAGATGGGGTTTTACCATGTTGCCCAGGCTGGTCTTGAACTCCTGACCTCAAGTAATCCACCTACCTTGGCTTCCCAAAGTGCAGGGATTACAGGCATGAGCCACAATGCCCAACCCCTTATTCTACTTTCATGAGCAGAGGAATGGGATAGCCACTCATGGGGCAGCTTGAGCTTATTGTGTAAATGTGGAAAATCAGAGGTGAATTTTCTTCTCCAAGGGCATATTCTTAGCTCAGAATGAAAATCAATTTAGGTTCGCTGAACATTCTTTCCTATCCCAGGACATGGTACTGCAGGATACAAAAAGACAATGAGATAAAGGCATTCAGATCACCCCTGTTCAGAAAACAGATCTCACATCCAGCCCCTTGCAAGGAGCTGGTCTTCTCTGTCTTCATTACCATTGTTAATAGCACTTCAAATATTCTAGGTACTCTTTTCAGTGCTTTGCGTTAACACATTTAATCCCCCAAATAAGCTTATGATGTTGAAACTGTGATTATTCCCATTCTGTAGGTGAAGAAATGTAACTTTTAGAGATATTAGATTACTCACCCAAGGCCATGCAGTTAAAAATCAGATTCTGGGCCAGGCACCGTGGCTCATGGCTGTAATTCCAGCACTTTGGGCGGCGGAGGTGGGTAGATCAGGAGGTCAGGAGTTCAAGACCAGACTGGCCAACATGGTGAAATCCCATCTCTACTGAAAAAAAAAAAATACAAAAATTAGCTGGGCATGGTGGCTCGTGCCTATAATCCCAGCTATTTGGAAAGCTGAGGTAGGAGAATTTCTTGAACCGGGATCTGGGAGGCAGAGGTTGCAGTGAGCCGAGATCACACCACTGCACTCCATTCTGGGCTACAGAGCAAGACTCCATCTCAAAAAATAAAAAAAATAAAAGTAAAAATAAATAAATCCGATTCTCGAGTCAGACCATCAAGATTTGAATCTTGATTGTGTGGTTTCCTAACCACTCCACTCTAGGGCCATCCTTTGCCTTATTCCAAGGAGAAATAGGGAATAATGGGGTAAAGAAAGGGTATCTTCATGTGCCTGTGGGCAGTGCCACCCACTTGCCTCTCCATGGCTCTCAGCATCTGTGACCTGATTGGTGGTTACACATTATCACCATCAGGAGGCACAACTGCTAGACTACAACCCTAAAAGGAATAGGCCTTTCTGCCCTGAGCCATCTGTCTCTAAGGTAACAACTGGTTTTTGTCCTCTGCTGTCCAAGAAGGATGACTTATGCTCTTTAATGAACCCACTACCCACCTCTTCTTATCTGCAGCATTCTATGGACCTGTGTCCTCACAGGTCCTCCATCTGGTCAACTGCCCCAGGTGATTTCTCAACCCAAGCATTAGCTCAGCAATGTCCAGCCTTCCAGGCTGATCTCTCTTCACACGTATTACCAAGAGATCAGACACCCTGTACCTCCACCTTTCTACCAGCTGTCCATTAGGCTAGAAATGACTGCTCATCGCTATTTCCAGCCTGCTGCGTAGCATAATCGGGTATATGCAGAATAAGCAGATTGACTTAATGTCCCTTAGGGCAGGGATGAGGGCAGGGTTATAGCAGTGGTGGTGGTGGTGGTAATAACTTCCAGTTTCCAAGGCTCCCTAGTTAACCAATCCCAAGAGGCAGCTGACGCAGAGCTTGGCTCCTAGCATTTTACACTGACTTTGAGATCAGTAATTGCACTTGGCCACTTTCTTAAGTCCCAAGGGTCTGCATTACCAAGTGTGCACTAATAAACCTTATAAGAGGTATAACTGAGAGTCAGCTTATTTGCAATTTTCTTCCTATTCATTATGAAACAAGATTTGGCATAAAATTGTTTGCTTTTTCATCATCAAAATGGCTTCTGCTATGGACATTTCATAATGAAATCTTTAATTGAGTGTCATTATAAATATTTTTATGTGCAGTGAAGATTATGCAGGCCTAATCTCTAGTAAGGGCATAAAACAGTATGAGGTTTGCTATAATAGCAGCTGGTCTGTGTCTGGAGAAGGGAGGTACAGAGCTCTGGGTCCCAACACAGGCCTCACAGTCAGGCTAGGCTTCAGAAGCATCAACAGTCACTTCAGTGGCATTGAGCCACTGTCCCAATCTTCCTACAGCCACCATCTTTCCAGGAGTGGAAATTGAGATGTACCGCCCAGGGCTCTGTTCAGGCAGACACTTGCTGTCTTTTCTGGGAAGGCTATGGGCAGAGTCTTCACCAGCCTGGTTCCAAGTCATGTCAATTTTTAGGGTGGCTCCTCTCTGATAACACGCTGGTGCAGGTATGTAAAGTCCTGACCATCTCAGCCCAACGTAAGACAACTCTGCAGGGCCATTCTTTCTCCCTCTGGGGTCACTTGATTGCTGTCATGGGCCTACATGGTAGCTCAGCTTTTTCCCTTGACCATGTTTGTTTCCTTCCCTTTGCTCTCATAGGTGTTGTTCCCAAGAGTGCTTCTTAATAAACATCCTGCCTTCTAAACTCAGAGTCAACTTTCTGAGGACCCCAGCCTGTGCTATCTCCTCACTGCAAAGTGAGGTATAATCATATTTACTTCAAAGGGTTGTTGTTGGAAGTTGCATAAAATAATACTGTAAGTTACTTATAATAGTAACATTGTTGGAGGTCACAGAAAATAATATAAATTGCTTAGCATAATGCATCTGGGAAGTACCTGGCATTGTGCTAAGTAACTTAGAACATTCGATGAGGACCTAATACCTGAAATTTCTTATATCTTCAAAAAAAAATGCAACACAGTGGAGTTCAAAAACAAATAATCACCTAATTGGGAAATAATAAAATAAATAAACTTTAAGTAGCAAAAGCAGGGAAAAGACATTCTGGTGGGCACAGAAACATTTGCGGGAACAGGCTGAAATATTAAGAAATCGTATATCATCCCATTTGGCAAAAGCATAAGCGTTGTGGGTAATTAGTTTGGAAAGGAAGCATGGGACCATATTGGAGAAGAGCTTGAATATGTCCTTAATCTTGTTAGCAGTGGGAATTCTTGCAAGCGTTTTGGACAAGAGAATGTGATCTGAATTGGATTGTTGGAGAGAGAAGCTGGGATTATAGCTATTGATTCTAGAAGCATCTGGAGAGAGGATTCAGGGGAAACCCTGGGTAGAGGCTCAAGAGAGAGGAGAGTGAGCTGGGATAAACAGGAAGTCCTGAGTGACATCTGTGATTTTAGCAGAAGAGTCAGTGTGGCCAAGTGGAAGGCTCAGAGTGCTTCAGGAAACAGGGCTGGTCATGAGGTCTGATGCTGCAGAGATGTCAACAGGGGCCTCCTGAGGGTTATGATATGGGGATGTCCTATTAGGTTAGGTGGTTAGGATGTGATGGGTCCGTTTAAAGAGTAACTCCAGAGAGATGATGAAGGAAGAGCTAGGTTAGAAAGGGCTAAGGCATGAGGGGCAGAAGATAAAGTGAAGGGCTTCCTCACTGGCATGGTTCCCCACTTGGAGATGCCCTCTAGGAAGAAGAGCTAATATTTGAATCCCCAGGCTCTACTGTAAATGCTTCATGTGTAACTCATTGAATCCTCAAAATCTCCCATGAACAAGGCACATACTATGACTGTCCTGTTTTCTATTTAAACGAATGTAGGCATAAAGAACAAAAGCAATGAGCTTAAGGTCTCATGGTGTTGAATCTGGGATTAAATCGCAGACAACCTGACTCTGGAGCCTGCACCTATAGCCCAGCACTGCCTCTCACATACCTGCTGCCAGACCTCTGCTTTCCAGCCCCTTCTGTGTCTTCTGCCTACCCCTGATCCCCCCACCAAATACTTGGTCCCTTTTCAGTGTTCTTCTCTGCAGCACTTATGTGATCCCCTGTGTCTGTCCCTCAGTCCACAGGGGTTCCAGGCCAGCACATCCTGGTGGCGGTGCTCCCCGGCTTACCCACGACTGCTGAACTCTTTGTCCTGCCCTACCAGGATCCAGCAGGAGAAAACAAAAGGTCAGCTGACAACTTGGAGCAGGTGAGTCCTCAGGAGATGTTTTCAGCTTCTCTCTGCAGTCAAAGCTACACCACTGCTAGTCTGAGTGAGGGCACCAAACCGTTTGTGGAGTCTTCAACTTTCTGAGCCTCTATTTCTCACCCATAAACTGGTGATCCTAACTACAGCTTCACCAAAAACACATGCAAGAGCATTCATGGTAGGTGTCTCAGTCTGTTCTCACACTGCTAATAAAGACATACCCAAGACTGGGTAATTTGTAAAGGAAAGAGGTTTAATCGGCTTACAGTTCAGCATGGCTGGGGAGGCCTCAGGAAACTTACAATCATGGTGGAAGGGGAAGCAAACACGTCCTTCATCACATGGTGGCAGTAAGAAGTGTAGAGTGAAGCGAAATAAGCCTCTTGTAAAGCCATCAGATCTCGTGAGAACTCATGCACTATCACGAGAACAACATGGAGGTAACTGTCCCCATGATTCCATTACCTCCCACTGGGTCCTTCCCATGGCAAGTGGGGATTATGGGAGTTACAGTTCAAGATGAGATTTGGGTGGGAACATAACCAAACCATATCACAGGGAATGGCTAAATTATTTACAGTGTGGCATACTGTAGGGAGTTTACAATGAATTCAATTAATCTCTGTATGCTGACACAAAAAAATTGTCCATGATATAAAATGGGGAAAAAACAACAACTTGCTGAACAATATCTTTCTTGTTATAAGAGTGCCATGAGAATCAAATGACATGATATGCATATTTTTTAAAGGTACACCTTTTATACAAACAACTCATCCTGTTATGATCTAATTTGTGTTTGTAATGAGTAACATTGGCTCCAGAGCACCTCTACTGCCCATGTGGGGTTCACTTCCTTCTCATCTGCACTTGCTTCTGGAACATTCGCGCGCATGTGTGCGTGAGAGAGAGAGAGAGAGAGAGAGAGAGAGAGTGTGTGTGTGTGTGTGTGTGTGTGTGTGTGTGTGTGTGTGTATCTCTATGTGTGTTTCTCTTTTTCTCCTGCCCCATTTAGTCTTCTTTTTTATTCCCTTTCCTCCTTTTAACTTTAAAAAATTATACCATCTCTGTAGTGGGGATTATTATGTTGTTGTTATTCTTCTTCATTCATTCAGTTAAAATGATCAGTCTTGGTCTAGTTGCCCTTTTAGAAACCAAATGATTTCAATTGCTCAGTTTTTCCAGGTAAATAGATTAAAAGTAAGATTTCTCTCAGCCAGTAAGTAAATATTGTCTGTTTCCCTTCCAGTACTTGGAGATTTTCTGTTTACTTTGAATAAGCCCATAATCTAGCTCCATGATCTCTAGTCTACCAGGATGACTTGATAATCTTCTCTAAGAGTCTTATTAACAACAACCCCAAATTATGACATGGCCCACCTTCTAGCATACACCCTCTTTTCAGCTGCCAATTTCTCACTTGCAGAAGGCTCACCTCTATAATTTTCTCTGTCTGCAAGTAATGAAGAGCAGAGCTCTCATGGAAAGCCCTGTTGAACCCCATTTGCCAGTGAAGTGGAGCTGAAGGGTGGGCAGCAGGTGACCCCTCAGATTTGCATCTAACCTTACTCCACACCTCAGCTCCCCGTCATACTCTACAAATTATTATCTGCACTGCACTTTGGTGGGAGAAAGAATAGATTATTTCTTATCACAGCACTGCCGAGAACCTAGAGGGAACCAGATCCCTATCCAAGGCCTTTATATACAAACATTTGCAGTTGTACCTCCTCTAAATCTTACTGGTTTTTCATGAAATCCAGATTGTAATCTTTTCAAGTATGGAAGAGGGTACAGAAATAGTCACCTTTATTCCCAGTTACCACATCATCTATGCACTTTTATTTCTCACACTTTCCATTTTTTCTTCTAAAAGTGTTGTATTATCTGCATCATTCTAGGAGGGGAAAACTGGAAAGAAAGAGGGGTCCGTTCTGTGAAACTTCTTATCCTTATGTATGGCTGTGTCTTGCTTTGACTATCTGCTTTCTCTAGACTTCTTGTTTCCCTTCATTCTTTGTCTCTTCTGGGTGTTTCCTGCAAAGGCATTCTCAGAGAGCTGAGTATGGCCCTTGAGGCAGCCCATATCAGTCATTGGTGAACCACGTCATCAGAGATCTGAAACCAACTAGCTTGCTTGAAGGTGTGTGACTTAGAATTGGCACACATGTAGAGGCGCCTGTCTGTCTGGTTAGAAAGAAAACAGGCTTACATAAATATCTACCAGTTTCTGGTTTCCCCTCTGATATTTATTATTTCCATTTTATAGGTTAGGAAAGCGAGGACAAGAAAAGTTGAATAATTGAGCCAAAGTCCACACCTATCTCGTGGGGTTTTGGAGAGGATTAAAGAAATGATACAGCAAAGTACTTGGCCTTGAGTGAATGCTCACTGATGGTATACAGATAATGGTTACATTCATGCTTATTGTATGGAAAGAAGAGATGTGGAAAATGAAAAAAAAAAAAAGGTTAGGCCTATTAAATACACTGGGCTAGCGGAGGGCATGTATTTGAAGAGAGGATGGTGGGAGTAAGGGAAAAAAGATTAATGAATGTAATTACACAAAACGGAAAAAAACAAGGACAATAAAGAAAGAATGTGCATGAATGGCATGAGCTCATGCAAGTTATGCAGATTTAAAGCATGAAAAGAAAGTAAAGTACCAAGCTAGAGACTGTAAATTTGTTTAAGGAAATTGCTAGTGTATCAGCCTATTCCAGGACTCAAACCAAAGTAGACACAGTGACTTTACAAATGCCAAACAGAGCACATCAGAAATTAGTGTCTTAGTTGTGGAGAACATTATTACCCTGATGAAAAAATGCTCATGAAATCAACTTATTAAACCAAGGCACACGTCTAGACTCTGTGAGACAGGGGTGTCTCCTGGAGACCCATAGTTTTCAGTCCAGGAGGGTTCCTTTAATTCTTTGCTCTGACTCAGTCACTTAACTTTAAGGGGAAAAAAGTGAGTTTCTGAATTCATTAAATTGAGAAGTCCAGAGACACAGTTGAGGCATAGATAAATTCAGAACCACTCAAAAGTGTCACCAGATTACTTTCCTGTCTTCCCATCTCTCCATCGATTTTCCTGGCTACCATATGGGAAGTTGGCCTGAGAATGCAGCCAACACATAGGAAAGCAAAGATGGCCACCGGCATCCCCACCTACTGTTTAGCCAGTGTATCAACCCTATCCAGAGACAGTACCTTCATTTGATTGCAACAGCGAGAACTGCAGGTTCACAATTTTCACTGGTCTGACCTGTGTGTAAAGTGGGCATCTCTTAGCCAGTCCCTGAAGTCACGGGGATAGTGTGCTGTCAGTGACAACTCAGATATTTTATGCCCTCCCTGAACCAAAGGGACCAAGACTAGACAAGGACATGGATTCCTCAAAGAACAATGTGGGGAAGGGAGAAGGAATGCTGGGAGGCAAAAGCAACTGATGTCTGTTGTCATAAATTATACAGACATTTAAGACAAAGGCAAAGCAAAATCAAACAATGGAAATGAGCCCCCTCCTTTGAAGGCTGCTCTCTAAATCTCAGCTGAGACTTTAGAAGGGCCGTCCTTATCCCCACATTTCATGCCTTGGCCCCTTTCTTGTAAAGATGCAGTACAGATACTCCTGCAGTGAAAGAACTGGGATTCTAGGCAGATGTGCCTTAAAGAATGGGAGAGCAGGCCCCAGCAAAGGACTCTCAGCCCTCCTTCCTTAGCTTCCTCTGAAAGCCTTCCTGGGGCACAGGGATGCTGTCTTGAATCAAGTTATCTTGTCTGTAAAATCAATTGAAAATTCTTCACAATGAGAAGTACTTGACCCTGTTACCAGGATGAGGCAGGCTGGGTTAATCAAGTGACCTCTGTCTGGGGGGTTTCCACCAGTCTTTACTGAGGATCGCTGGTGAATGAAAAAAGGCTCTCTTGCCCTGAGCTGGCCTCATCAAGGGTAGCGCATGCTGCTGTCCTGACGCCAGCTGCTCAGATGTGGAGCCAGCCTTGCCCCTCAAGCATCCCACTCCCTTGCTTTCCTCGGAGTCCTCACAGGTGAGAAAATTTGTTTCTGGCTCTCCTGGAGGGAGGGAAGAACCACCATGCTCTATTGCAATTACTTGTGATGCTGTGCTGAGGAGATTAGGAGCCTATGTGTGTTGTCTTTCAGAATCCTTAAAGGACATTAGAACACCAAAACAAAACCAAAAAGATGTGGAAAAGATGTCAACCACAAATATATATATATATATATATATACATATATATATATATATATATATATATGTATATATATATTAATATAAATATATAAATGTTTCCTCCCTGGCTGTTTTTATTACTCTGCATGGTTGGCAGATGCAGAGCCTGAACCAAGGAAGGAAGGAAAGGCAGATCTGAACATGGAGCAGGGTGACAGCATTTTAAGAAATTAGACATTTATTATGAAATGGAATTAATACTCTCCATTTTCTGTATATCCACATTTTTTGCTTATCAGTCCAGATCTTCTTAACATGGGAAATTGAATTATACTCTGGAGTTTACAAGGAAGGTCACTGAGGTAGTATAACCGAAAGAGGAGCAGGTAAGAGGTGGACCAGAACCACTGTGGCAGGACAGAGGAGATAGAGAAGAGCTTAAAGTGGGTGATGGAGAATGCAAAGGAAACACATGTGTATGGCTGATTTGTTTCTTCATGCACCATCATTCACGAGACCCCTTAGGCACTTAATCAGGCTAAATTTGTGTGTGGCTGTGTGTGTGTGTGCATGCTATGAAGGAATGAGATTGAGTGAGCTAGTGTTAATTAAAACTTAGTATTTGGCTCCATTGCTTCCCTGCCATTCAGTGCAAAAATTGTATTGCATGAACTGGGAAAGATCTTTCTCTGTTTAACCCTAAAGGAATATTCCTCAACTGCTATTTGAAGAGATTTTAATAGTGTGACAGTAACAGGATGGACCAACTGAATCTGCTCCCAGATCATTCCAGGCAACTCTCTCTCTAAACATGGCACCAGAATGCTCTTATGTTCATTAAGATTTGCATTCATCCTACCACCTTCAGAATAAATACTAGTATTTGGCCCAGCGTAGCTTTGCAATTAATAAATTTGCCTAAGCCCATTTGAATCTGTATGTTTATCTTGTACCACTTCTTTGGGCTACGTATTCTATGAATTGATAAACTACTGTCCTTAAAACTTCTTTTTTCATGTTTCAATAATTGCCACTTTCATTCTGATTGTCCAACAGTGTTTCCCCCTCTTGGTTCCATTAGAGATTGTTTGGGTGTTAAATGTGTTCTTTGTGTGGTAACTATCACTGTGTGACTAAATATTTCTAGCCCACTGCTTTCAGGGTACATGATGGGGCTGTAGCCATGAGTCTCTTCTGTTGGGGCAGAGCCTCAGGACTTTGGGAGCAGAAGTGATATGTGCCAATTCCAAGCTAAAGTATTCAAATGCACATTGTAGAATTTTTCTAGCTCTTTTTCCCTCTTCTGCTATATGTAGCAAATGGAAATGTTTGAGATGGCCACTCCACCAGCCAATGTCCCCATGTGACCACAGTGAGCCCAACAGCACTGCATAGCTGCAATGGATATGACGTGTGGGCAAAAAAATGGCCTTTCTTAGGCCGGGCTTGGTGGCTCACGCCTGTAATCTCAGCACTTTGGGAGGCCGAGGCAGGTGGATCACCTGAGGTCAGGAGTTCAAAACCAGCCTGGCCAACATGGTGAAACTCTGTCTTTAAAAAAAAAAAATGGCCTTTCTTAATTAAAGGCCCTAACCACAGCCACATGTAGTTGATTCTGAGTGCTGCATTCAATCTTCATCTTTTGTGAACAAGACAATGAGGAACATTGGTGTTTTCCCTGTAGCAGGTCCCTTGCAAGACATCCTTTTGACAATAGCTTTCCTAAAATTCGAATTGCATCTCCACTGTCCTTTTAAGTGGTAGTTTAAATGAAATGTAGCTTGTTGCATTTGAATAATAGGCATATTCCACAACATAGGCAGATACCAAGAATAATGTGTTGTTTCTTTGTCGTGAATGTTTAGCTGATGTGGAATAGAAAATGGACTGTGTTGGAAAGCAGCAGAAGAGGGATGACTGTATACAGGATAAATGAAATTTGTTAAGCCAACATGCTTTTCACCAGACAGAAAAAGGAAATAAATTCAATTTGCCTTAATAGGTTCAGTCTGTCTCCTAGAAATCACACAGTATTTCACTTGAGTATCAGGCAAGTGTTTGCTCTTCCCATTTAGGCTGTTGCTGTATCTTTCAGTAGAAAGCAGTTTATTCTGCTCCTTTCCATAGCTGAAGACTCTCCCGGGTATTACCAATTACGTAACTGGTGAACAGAATGTGGCCCTCTGAGGATGGTGTTAAGAAATGGCTACTCTTGTAGCCCGTATTGATCACTGGGGCTGATGTTTTAACTTGGGTGTTTCACAGATGAATGAGAAATGGCAGCACAATTAATCAAAATGCTGTATTTTCTCATCTTGTGAAACTACTCTGCTCGACTTCTCTCCAGCTATCTCCTGCTGTCTCTCCCTTTGTCAGCTTTTTCAAGGAAAATATTTTTAATGGAGATACCCTAGGATTAGGAGTCAAGCAAGCTAAAGTCTAGTCTCAACTCTTCAAATATTAACTGAATAAGTATTTGGTATTTCCCTTAAACTCCATGATCCTTTCCAGGAAGATGCCAACACTACCACCTAAGATGTGCGGTACTAGAAAAGATAGTAAGAAATAATCAACTTTACCAAAATAATCTTCACAGCATGTGTAATATACGTTAGAATATAAGTAACAACTTGTAATCTTTTGAAAAAATACAGGATAAACACTTCTACAAGTATTGTGAAAACATTTAAAATATTGTCAAAATCTGTCAACAGTTTCATACTCATTTATTTCAGTAGAAAAATACATGATTCTAATTGAGATTATTCTTGTATGCAGTGTAAATTTCATTTAGTTTTGTTTCTTATGCATATTTTTCCCACAAAGTGTGTGTTCATTGTTGTATGTCCTTTGATGCAAGTTAAATATATGAAACATACTTTCTGTTACCAGATAATTTTTAAATTTAAATTTCCTTCTTAAAATTTTGTAAGTGATACAGATAGAGCCAATGAAACAATGTTACAAACTGAAACAAATCCAAGTAGTTAATTATTCTTGCAAGGGTCTCTCCTGAAGATTATAAATTAGAAACGTTATTTTGATGAATTACATTTTCTGGTTTAGCTCCATATATCTCACACTTGAAGAGAAAACATTCTCAGTAATAAGAAATAAATAATGCTTCACCTGGTTGAAGGTGGAGAGTCTTTCTCCCACAAATACATACAGTTCCCTTTAGTCCATGTGATAGATTTGGCAAAACAGGCAAATTCCTTAATTACTTTTGACAAGTTTTCCATATTTAAATAAAAAATATTTTTCCTGCAATTCTGTATCTGTCTGTGTGCATGTACGTGTGTCTATTTCATAGGTAAAACTTTTGTAATAGACCTCTCTAAAAAATTTCACTGTCTAATTCCTATAAAGATTCTGCCAATTAAAAGGTAAGAACACACAAAAATGAAAATAAAAATAAACAGAAGATAAAAACACAGAAGAAAACTATTCTGTGCAGTCTGGGTTAGAAATACACTTTTCCACTTCTGTGTGTGTGTGCGTGTGTGTGCTTTTTGTTTTTTTTGTTTGTTTGTTTGTTTTTTGAGACAGAGTTTTACTCTGTTGAGTAAAACCCAGTCTTGAGTGCAGTGGCATGATCTCGGCTCACTGCAGCATTTGCCTCCTGGGTTCAAGCGATTCTCCTGCCTCCGCCTCCTGAGTAACTGGAAGTACAGGTGTGCACCACCATGCCCGGCTAATTTTTATATTTGTAGTAGAGACGGGGTTTCACCATGTTTCCCACACTGGTCTCAAACTCCTGAACTCAAGTGATCCACCTGCCTCAGCCTCCCAAAGTGAGCCACCGCACCTGACCAGAAATCCACTTCTGTAAACCTGGATCGTTCTGCATGATTCCCAGCCCCCAACAAAGGAAGTAGCCTAATGTACAGAATAAAGTCGGTTTTGTTTTCAACATAGTTTTATTACCATCTTGTTTTTCTGCGTTGTTTGCTAAACGACAGCATTTGAAAGGCTGGGCTTGCACTGGATCCCAGGTGCTCAATGACTGGGCAGTGACGGTCATCCTCTGTTCCTGTTGTTCAGGAGAGAAGTTTATATGTGGGGCAGTTCAGTTCTGCTGCCAATCAGGGGCTTCTGCAGGTGACTTTCTGCTTCCAAACTAAGCCATCAGGACCTATTTAGCAAGTAAAGGGATTAAAGTTGTCATTTTGGCAACTCACTGGAGTAAGTAAAACTCAACAAATAGAAAAGGAAAAAAAGTTAAGAACTTAATTAGCAGAATGATGGTCAGAAAGCATCTAATTAGACTAACATAACATGTTAAGTAAAATATTAAATTGATGATTTGAATATTAAAAAATAGGGCTAGCAGACCAGATAAAAATAATCGCAGTATGATTATCCCTGTTGCTTTTCAGAAATTCCTTGAAATTATAAAAGAAACAGCAAATGGATCTAAGTTTTCTAATCTAAACAAAATAACAGTGTTACCTCATCAATAAAACCTTACCTTATACTATTTCTATCCAAATGAAGTTATTTGTCCCATGCTTGGGGTTAAATATTTCATAGTCGAGAATTCCATCGGTCTGCCCAGTACACATGTGTCAGCTTCAGAAGCAGTTTAGATAATATTTACAAGCATGAAATAAAGGTTAGCCAATTTGTTGCTTATGTTATGGCTGTACTTTGCTGCAATTCTGAATTAGCAGAACTATATTTACCATAAAATAAATATTCATAAAGTGTTTTGTGAAAATCACATGGTTTGGGAAAGAGAATGGAAGTAAAATAAATTTATGTGAATCTTAGAATGTGTAAATTGTATATATCTACTTCTTTTAAGTCCTTATGCATAACAAATGTTCTCTCAAAAGACTAGGTGTAAGTTTTCTAAGATCATACAGAATAATTTTTTAAGAGTATAATTGTTTTTGTTCATTAATAGTTTCTCCTATTTTGTAGCAATTAGCATGTAAAAACAGGTCATGCTAAAAATAATTGTATCTGCATATTCTGGAATTTAAAAAATCAAAGTCATATAAACTTTATATAACTTGCAGATATAATAATTGTGATGCCTTGGTGAATATAGCAAATATTTCTAAGCATATTTGTTTGTAATCAGTATGACACTTTCAGTGGCACTAACTATACTTCTTTTTTCAGATATCAGAACTGCTGATCCACAAGCTCAACCAAAACTCAGTACACTTCGAGCTGAAGCCAGGGGTCCAAGTCCTGGTCCATGCTGCTCACTTAACAGCAGGTCAGTGTCCATGTCCCTGGGTTCTGGCTGGTGGCTCTGGTAAAGGGAATCCCAGTCTGTGCTTTCTTCCTCATAAAAAGGCTAGATGGTAACAATGCTAATCAGAAATCAGTCATCAGATCTTGAAGGTTCCCTTCCTTCGTGTTTCTGCCTTAATGGAGGATCAATTAGACAACATAAAAAGGTGACACTTTTGGCCAGGTGTGGTGGCTCACACTTGTAATCCCAGCACTTTGGGAGACCAAGGAGGGTGGATGACTGGAGGTCAGGAGTTCGAGACCAGCCTGACCAACATGGTGAAACCCCGTCTCTTCTAAAAGTACAAAAATTAGCTGGGCATGGTGTTGCATGCCTGTAGTCTCAGCTACTTAGGTGGCTGAGGCAAAAGAATCACTTGAACCCAGAAGGCAGAGGTTGCAGTGAGTTAAGATCGCACCACTGCGTTGCAACTTGGGTGACCCAGTGAAACTCTGTCTCAAAAAAAAAAAAAAAAGGTGACACTTTCTACTTAGCCTCTGGCAAAAACTGTCAGTGAACCATATAGATACATCTCGCATGAAAGCACGCTTCATTTATCTCAGCAATCTTGAAAATAACATTAACCATACAAATACATTTTGTTGTGGGGGATTTCTGCAAAGCTTTATTTTCAGTATATTCATGTTACAAAAATATTTGCTTTCTTTAAGTTTCTGGATAATCTAGTGCAGTAGAAATAGCAGGAACTTAGGAGTGGTACAGGGCCATACCCAGGAACTGAACCTGGAATTGGTCATGATCTTACAATTTACTTAATGTCATTGAGCTTCCATCTCTTCACCTGTAAAAGGCGGTGGTAAGGATGGGGGATCCTCCGTCTAAGCTTATGGAGAGTTTTCAATGAAAACACAAGTTACTTAGAATAGATGATAACACAAGTAACTTAGAACAGTTTTCAATTATAACAGAAGCATTTAGAAATATATATTGTTGTGATGTAACATAAAGTAAGAGTATTTATTGAGTACTTATTTTTGCAGGGTACCATGCTGGTGCTCTGTGGAGTAAAAACACCAGTGGGAGATGGTCTTTGTCTTCACAAAACTTATAACCTGGTTGTGGTGTGGGGAAGTTTGATGTCACAATGGCAGTGGTACTATGGGGTGGGAGGAGTAGGCAGTGGGGGACAGTCAATGAGTAAACTGCATAAATTCTTATAGAGAGAGGCTATGTATCATTTTTAAGCACTTGGATTTTGTTTTTCCAGTCAGAGCATTGGTTTCAATCTTGGCTTTGTTACTCACTAGGTAATCCTGGGAAAGAGATTTCACTTCTGTGTGTCTCAGAGATGGTAATAGCATCGATGCCCATGGGATTGTGTGAAGGTTAAGTTAATCAGGTAGTGCACTTAGGATAGTGTCTGGAACATAGCTGTAATATTTATTTTTACTCTTGTTATCACCTAAAGTTGTATAGAAAATTTAAAGCAGAGATGAATTATATCCTGTCAAAATGATACAGGATTGTTTTGTGGAGTAGGAGGTTTTGAGGAAGAACCTTAAAGGATGGATAGGATTAAATGCAAGAGGTCATTCTAAACACCAAAGCACCAAGGAAAGAAAGCCTAAAGGGCTTTGAGGATGCTGAACAAGTGAGGACAAAAAGTAGCTATTACCAGCACCATTCTCTGGTTTCCTCGAGATTTCACGAGGCACTGCTGGGTCGAGCGGAAGGCCAAGCAGGCTGGCCATTGACCTCTCCCCCTCTTGGATTTTATCTTTTTTCTTTATTGGATTGCATATAAGATTTTATTGTTCTTGTTGTTTTTTTCAATTCCACTATTTTAAAGAAATAAATATTTAACAGTCACTGTTCCTCAGCATGAGGTATGGAGGTGTGGAGGGTAAAAATATGCCAGGGTGAGCTATTTGTACTTACTTTAGTGAGTAAGCCATCAAAGGTCTGGGAAGCCATTGAGACCTTAGAACAGAAGTGTGATTGATTCAGAGTGTCCCTTGAAAAAGGTGACTGCAAAGAGCAAGTAGGAGTAGGGCTTATTTCCTGTTCTGCATCTTGTCATCCTCACACATCCATTGAACAGATGCTTACCGACTGGCTGCCTATGCTGGGCCAAGCAATGTTGTCAGCACTAGGGACAGAGTCTCCACCCTCATAAACTACTCTTGCTGGTAAAAGCCGCTTTCTGAATCGTATGGTGGTGAAAATTCTCTGAAGAAAAGGCTGCCAACTTATCTCAAGGCATTTGATGATCTTGACTGGCCTTTTCCTACCCAGAGTGTTGAGCGTTGGTGTTTGATGAATGGGGGTAGCATATGGCAGAGTCACATATGACTCATTGTATGGGAGAATGATCAAATTTCAGAAACAAGAGTTGTAGTCATCCTAATAGCCAAGCCACTGACAAATGTTGTCAGCTGAGTAGAAAGTAACCGTTGAACATTGGTTTAAAAAGATTCACTAACTTATTTAATCTTATCAGACCATCTAGCCTGAACCTCATTATCCACTACTTGGTCCCTTTGAGTTTAGAAATTAAAAACAACTAAGCTTGATATTCCACACTGAAGTCTGTGTTTGAAGGGATGTGGCCAACTTGTCCATCCTTTGTGATGCAAAATTTGCTTCTACAACATAACCAGTTTTTGAATGAACACTATCTTTAGGCTTGGTATATCAGAAAACAGTCCCTTTTTGGCTTACCAGAGACCTCCCTCTGTTGAACAGGAGAGCACTGGAGGTCAAGCTAGGCAGGGAGCTAACCCTACTTCTCCCATTCTTCATTTCGGGAGGCCACTCCCATTTCACTCTTTTACTTCCTCCATAATTCTTCTCCATCTGTGCCTGGTTTTTATTTGACTGATTATTGCATTACGCTCTAAAGATGGTTCAGATTATTTTGGAAGATATTGAATGTTCCCACCACAAACAAGTGATAAATGATTGAGATGCTGGATATGTTAATTACCCAGATCTGATCACTATGTATCCCATAAATATGTATAATTGTTATGTGTAAATTTAAAACAATTTAAAAGATTGATATGTTACCATAACTTTAGGGAGAAGTGGTATTTAAAAAAAATGAAATCTTATTTTAAATGTTACTTAAGAACACTTTCTTCAATGACAAATGGTTTAGAGCTGGCACGAAGCTGAAATATTGAGATCAAAAAGTGGGTAATTAGCTGAGACTGGTTTGGCCAGTTGGCTTGGCCAGAGAAACTGAATATAGAAAAGGCATCCAAAGGCCCTTGGATTTATAGCTCCGTGTGGGAAGGGAAGTCAATTCCTGATAACCATGAGAGGTTAATCCCACTGGTAGAAACTCCATATGGCAAAAATAATGCAAAGTTGGGAAGAACTGAAACATGTTTCCAATTCATATTTGTAGATTATTCTATAACTAGGAGTTTGGAAAGCAGGACTCAGATTCCTGAGAAAAAGGGCTGGCAAAAGGGAGGTATATTATGGGAACCTAGATATGCATGCTGAGATTTGAAGAAGAACCCCTTGCAGTATAGATATGTGTAACACTAGGTCACCAAAGTGGGAAAAAAATCCATTTCCAAGTAAAAGCCCATTCTTAGCCTGTACCAATTTGGAGATAGTGAGAAAATTATTTGACTTCCAACCATTGTAGAAATCTTTACTGTTAGTTTCAATAGTAGGGTCTTTTGGCTGTACAAGTCCAAGCCTGATCAACTGGCTTTACTACGTTTTCTGTCATGGCTAGCTCAGCAACTGGAGTAGATATAGATTTATATGTGGACAATTAGCTCCAATTTGATAAGTAAATGAAAGTAATCTCATGGAGTAACTGAGTCTTGGAAACTTTTGCTGTATTGAGTTTGGCTATGATGATCATAACGTGTTAAAACTGGCAGTATCCACAGGTGCGCATCACTCTGGGATAGATTTTCATATGCAAAAGACAAATTGTGTCAATTGGCACAACAATTGTGATAAGGAATTAAAATTTGTGAAGGATCCTTTCCTTGTTGGAGATTGCTCCTAAGTTACCTCTAGCTACCTGATTGAAAGAACTATTTGCATAGGATGGTAGACCCTACATACACAAAAAACAGTGGAGGGAGTTCTGCTTTCACTCATGGAAAAATTGGCACTTTGGTAGGGTATCAGTGGGCCGAGACACTTGCCACAGTTTCGTTTCTTTTCTTCCTTTCTTTTTTTTTTTTTTTTTTTTTTTGAGATAGTGTCTTACCCAGTCACCCAGGCTGGAGTGCAGTGCCGTGATCTTGGCTCACTGCAACCTCTGCCCCCTGAGTTCAAGCCATCCTCCCTCCTCAGCCTCCCAAGTAGCTAGGACCACAGATGCTTGCCATCATGTCCATCTAAGTTTTGTTGTATTTTTGGTAGAGACGGGGTTTTACCACGTTGCCCAGGCTGGTCTTGAACTCCTGAGCCCAAGTGATCTGCCCGCCTCAGCCTCTCAAAGTGCTGGGATTACAGGCATGAACCACCACAGTTTATTTTATTAGGTTGAAATTAACACAATATTTGGGTGGCTAGGGAGAAAAGGAGGAGGAAGCCTGAAAAAAGAGAGAGAGAAACAGTGGGGAGGAGTATTAGATGCAGAACTTCCACCTCGACTCTATTTCCCTTCTCTCATCCCCCCTGGAGGCAGGGGAAAATAAAAATTAAAAAGGGAAAAAATAAAGAACCATTGTTAGCAACATTTCATGTCTCATAAGCAGGATTGCTAATACTTTCCCAGGGACCATTACAACATGCTGCTGCATCCCATTAATTGCTCAGCAGATGTTCAGCAGCTTTCTTTTAAAAATGTTTGAGCCAGAGTATGTTGTTGGTGAGAGAAGCAAATGCATAATTTGGTTTGTCTCCAAGGAGAAAGAACTGTCTCTTTTTAAGAATTTACTAGCCTTATTTTGGTTTTCAAATTCAGCTCCCTGTTTGCTTTTATGGGAAGAAGGAAAGTATTTGCAGATATCCGAATGCCATTAGAGACTGGATTTTGTTTG